ATACTAACACTTATTCAGATATCACTCTCATTACACCACCTTCTTCAGAGGAAGCTATTAAAACAGCATTGGCTACCAATCCACATTTGACAAGTTTGCCATTGCCAAAACCTGATTTATTAGCACCCGAAGAGTTAGATCAAACCACAGGTACTGCACAAATCTTTCGATTACCTGAAGTACGGAACATCATCAAGGGTGATTTCATAGTGCTTCCTTGTGATTTGGTTTGTGAGCTCGGCGGCGAATCTTTGATAGAATCATGGATGGTAAAGGAAGGAGGTTTGGGTGGAGCAACGGGAGGAGATCACGAGGGCCCAAAAATGGCACTTGGTGGTGAACGAGGCGGAAGACGTGGTGGACTTGGAGTGTGGTACGAAACCAAGAGCGAAACGCCAATCAAGGGCGAAGAAACCGATTTCATTGCAATCTCGCCCCTCGCCGCTACATCTGTACCACCTTCGAAATCATCTTTGATTCCTCACGTCTCAAATTTGCTCTACTCTGTCCCTACAGATACCTTAAAGGATATAGTTGAAGACAAAAAAGGGCTACCAATTCGTCATGCCCTGGTACGCAGCCATTCCCGTATTCGAATGCTTAGTTCCCATCGAGATGCGCATATCTATATTTTCCCGGCCTGGGTACTTGATATGATCAGCGCAAACGAGCACATGGACAACATTGGTGAAGATGTTATTGGATGGTGGTCTAAAGCGGGATGGCAACAAGGTTTAGGTGATAAATTGGGCTTGCGGGATATTTTTGAGAAAAAAAGACCCGATGAATCCGACGACAATATGCTTGACAATGGCCCAGCAAGTGATGATATCGATTACGGCAATCTGAGTTCAACCTGGACCTCTAAACTTGAGAATCCTTCATCAAGGAAATCATCAGACAGTTCGAACGCTAGCCATGAATCAAACTTGGCCATTCCTCCAATTCTAGCATACATTCATCCTTCAAAGCCCACAGCAGAAGTATCTCCGCCAATTATACGACGAGTAGATACCGCCCCTATTCTCTTGAATGTATCCCTTCAGCTCGCCAAAATTGAAGCTATCGATCAAGTTGGTCGTGATGCCGCTTCTCCTTTCGCCCATAACAGCAAAATAGCTTGGCCAGAAGGAATCGCACAGAAGACTACGGTACGACCAGATTGTCTTTTGGCCGAAAATGTAATTGTCGAGGAGAAATGCATTATCAAGGAATGCGTCATCGGTGCAAATTGTCAAATCAAAACTGGAGCAAGATTAACTCGTTGTGTATTGATGGATGGAGTTACTGTAGGATCATCATGCACATTAACGGATTGCGTGCTAGGAAAGGGCAGTGTGATTGGGGATAGATCAGAGTTACAAGACTGTGAAGTTCAAGAGGAGTTTGATGTTGACCCAGGGAGTAAGTTCTTCGCACCCCTACTGAATTTTTGAGAGATGGTTACTAAGAATGTTTGTCGTTATAGCAAACAAGAAGAAAGACAGACTCATGAGTGCTGCAGGCTTGGGTGTAGCCACTGAGGATGAAATTCAAGAGTTCAATCAGAATGATTCCGATGGGTCAGAATCAGATTAGTTGTATAACTCCAATAAATCTACTCAAATTTACCAAGCTAAAGATATATTCTCCATGCTAATATATTCTACTTCAAGTGTGAATTTTTTTCCACAGATCCTGCACCATTTTTCTTTTGGATCTACATCGCGTTTAAATTATTTTACTTCTTCCTATCTACTATATTGATACATCAATGACGTTATTGCTCTCAAATCAGCCCTTTATTAAGAGGGAGGTAACCTAAGAAGGAAGTTTTCCATCGTTCATCAGACCTCAAATATTACAAGCTAATCCTACTCGAGAAACTACATCCAAAATGGAATAAATGCATTTCCTCATCCACGAACCCCTATTCACGCAGTGTAAAAACAAGCACTTAACCAAAAGCATCGCATCAAAGTTGAATCTTCAGTATCCCTACGTCTCATTATCTTCTCCACGGAGCTCTGCATCATCGGGCGTACTGTCTTACAACCATAGCCCGTTCTGCATACCGTGTGCAGAATTCCCAGGTCCCTTGACGGCCCGATTGGTGATCCATGCATTGAATATGCGCTCGTGGTTGTCTGGATGGAAGGCTCCTTCTGCTGGAGTGGATCGTCAGTGACTATATCATGCCATGTCGTAAATATTCCAATATAGATAGCATCCATAGCGTACCTATGGAAGCTACGTTGCATTGCATTGCTCCCTTCTCATCCTATCTATCTACCTATCTATCTACCTATCTATCTCCCCTTCTGCATCGTACATACATACCTACATACATACAGCGTTCTCACGGCGTTACGAAAATATAATTATCTCCGAATAGTAATATAGAAGTCTCGTCCCGTCCCGTGTCGTGCTGTGTGTGTGAGGTGTTCGTGCAGGGAGTGAAAGAGGGTAAGAGGGGTCTTGAGTGTGGGGTTTGGTTGGTTGTGTAGTGTAGTGACGCCTCCAACTGTTGATTTTGGGAGATGTGTGGAAGGGAAATGTTGGTATGCATTGTAACGGTGTTTTTGGATCTTTGACAGGTTGATTGGTTGATTGGTTGGTTGAGGTTTCAGGGATGGGAGGTTTGGGGGGTTTGGGGGGTTTGGGTGGTTTGGGAGGAGGGAGGGGAGATATTTGGAGGGGTTGTTTATACATGTATGCACTCTCTTTGGGGGGGAAAGGGGGCGGTTTATTTGGTTGGTTGGTTTTCTCGAGAATCTGGGAAACGATTCTGAGTAGGTAGCTAGCTGCCTTGTATCTATATGTATCTGTAACAATAATTCTCTTCTCAACTTAAACCCCTTCAAGCAGTAAAAGTTTCATCATCCACCCATAATTCCCCCTGATACTGATACATTTTTCCAAAATCCTCTCTGTCATTCCCCTTCCTCTATCTAGATTCTCTCATCCAATTCCCAAATAAGTACTCGTATTCAGGACTCGTATTTTCTCCAATATCATCCTCCCATCTCATCCCATCACATCCCATCACATCACCACCTAGAATCCTAAATACTCCACTTCCCTCTCTTACCTCCCCCCTCCCCCTAACACTACACATACATCCCCACCACCCAACCCCTCGCAGAATCACAATTCCACGATCATGCATTCCTTTCCATCTCTATCTAGTGAACCACAAATCTAAGTTCTAACCCATTATGTGCGAACGGGAAAGTACCTACTTCCCGATTGAGAAAATCTTATTGATGGGGATTGGAAAATACATGATTTGGTTTGGTGTGGTTTGCTGAATGTAGTTGGGAGATGTGTATTATGTATTATGTATTATTTACTCAGGTGGTGTATAATCATCTTTTGCGTTAATCGCGTAGTTGCTAGCTGGTAGTTGGATCTCTGGGGATTTGTCTTACTGTATTGTACTGCGAAGCACGAGGGTAAGCGCTTTGCGCGCGGGTGGATGGGTTGGGGATGTAGGTTTGTTGGGGGGAGGAGGTGGAATGGCGGTTTGTGAGTAGATTGATGATAGAGGATGTGGTGATATGTATTGCTAGAGCTGGGTGTAAAGGTATTGGAGTTGAGGTTGCAAAATTAGTATTTGGTAATAGGATTTGTGTGAGAGGTTTGTGAAGAAAGAGATAGGAAAGAGGAAGTTTGGGGGAGAGGGAGTAACTACTTCGAAGAGATTCAGATGATCGAGGGAGATGTGGAGGTATGATTGGGAAGAGAAGACTTTAATATGTTGTGCTACGCTGTGCTGTTGCTGAGACGAATCAGTTGAGAGTGTGAGGTTTTCGTAGAATGAGAATTCTATAAGCTGTCGGGTTGAAGGTACTTCCCAGTTAGAATTTTGAGAATGAAATTGAATATCTACGAATTAGTATGGAAATTCAGCAAGAGCCGTCAGTACTAGATTCACATTCACAGTCTTCCCCTTCTACTTTTCTCTCTTCTAAATTTCCCAACTGATGAAATTCCATGAATGGTACCACTCTTTTATATCAATATTGCTGCCCTGTTTATATCCTCTCCATTCCATTTACACGACCCAATATCTCTTTCCATCATCTTTCATCCTTCTTTCTTTACTCTCCATTCCAACATTCTTCTACAAATAATAGCCCAATATCAAAGACACCAACTGCCCTGCAACATTCTCTCCTCCCTCCAGATGTCATCCAAACACAAACGAAACCCATTATACTACCCTCCCCACCCCCTCGCTTCCCAATCATCTCAACACTCATCTCCCAATCACCCATCTATAAATCCGCAACCACGATAGCCTTGAACAAACCTCAATCTCAACCCCCCAAAACCCACCTACCCATCCTACCAACCCAAAAATCGTAATAAAAATACATAACTCAAACCCCACCACCACCACCACCACAACAACAACGACAACAACTACACACACCATCCTCACCACTTTCCACACATCTACAAACACCACCTAGGTACCTCCAAGTAACGTAACTTATAAACCTCCCACCCTTAAGCTCTCAACACATCTTTCAAGCACTCCACACATTTTTCAAACTTGAACTTCATCTCCCCCCCACACAAGCGTCACTAGATTTCAATCAATACCTATGTATGCATAATGTATATGAAAAGAGGGGGTACAGACGACGCGATCCAGAGATGAAAATCCAAGAGCGGAGAGAATCGAAATAAATAAGGTGGGCTGGAATCCTAGCTTGAGTTTAAGATAGGTAAGTCGATGTACAGAATTGAGAAGAGAAAAAGACAAAGATCAGTTCTTGTGGAGTGTGATGCAAACTAAAGATACGTATACAAGTTGAGATGATTTGGGAAACAAATGGCTAGAGTTTAGATATCTAGGTATCTAACGATGCATGTGGCTCCCAGATGAGAAAAGAGTGATAACGCTCATCTCTTACTCGACCATGTGTCACTAATGCATGTTTGTGAACGCAGTGCAATACACTCAAGTAAGGACAGCAATGTTCAAGTAGGTAGTCATAATAAAACGATTTCAGTTGTAACCTAGAGAGCTAGCAAAATTTATATTAAAGAGTGGTGAGTATACTGAAGCAAGAATGTCTGTAGTCTCCTTCACTATTCCAAGCTAAATTACCCCACCGCGATTAAAAATTGACCTTTCCAGATCATATTAATAACTATTTTTTGTGACCATCAAGAATTGTATCCATCGGCAAATCAGAAATCCATCCATCCATAGAACAGTGAACTCTTGAGGTCCTCGAGCAAGAAGCAACCAAATGTGATGGTGTAAAGGGAATTGGACCGAAAGGTAGATTGAAAGATGGTTAATATCGTTCAACGTACTCCTTTTTGGGATGCTTGATGACAGTTCCTGGGGGGTGATCTTCCTTGTAGAACTTGCAAGCAAATGCCATACATGTAGGTTCCTTAGGCCCAACGCTGGGGATTACCACACTTGGGCAATGATGCCCATAAATGCATTCCTCGTTATCGCAATCTTGGCCATTGACACAAGGATTTTGACGTGTTAGATAAGCAATGGCTTTTATTTCCTCCTCTGTAGCTTTGTGGTCGTGCTCAAAGCAACATTCATCGCCTTTAGAGCAAGGCCCTCGTAAATAATGGTTGTTACATAATTTATTCGAATTTGTACGTCGTTTTACCGCTTCCAATACATCTTTCTTGACATGTATTGGAGGATCCAGTCCTCTCGGCCCCGGAACCCAGCCGAGCCGAGCAAAAACATTACTTGTTACATCTGGTTTCTTAACTGCCGTTGAAGTGGTTTTACCCAACGCAGGAGATGCTACAGTGGTAGGTGGTGTGGGTGGAGGAATCGACGTGACACCTGCCCAGGTTGATGGAACAGATGCCTGACTGAATTCTGTTGTGCGATCTATCAATTTTTGAGAGCGGAATATATGTTCGAATTTGAGAGTTCGGAGGCCAACTGCAGAGAGCTCGCGGACTATTGGAGGTCCTTCCATTATTGTAATTCTATTTCGATCGTCCTGCGTAATTACTTCGTCGAGAAATGGCGCGTATCCGCTATCGAATGATATACCAAGTAATAGCTGTTTGCAATTCCAATTTCTTAGATGCCATCTAATACATTCTTGTAGAAGTCAGTACAATGATGGCCTGGTCCGAAGTGACTGTAAATCGTGGCAAGGCTATACGAACCTTTAATCTTTGAATCTGCCCTTTCTTTGCCATGACCAACATCTATAAAATCGAAATGTGCTTTTCCTTGGGTGAATCCTAGAGTAAATTCTTTAAATTTTTCGAAACTTTCAAGTGTGCCGTCTCTCATCAAGGCTTTCGATAATCCGGTGTAATTTCCGCAGACTTTTGCCATGATTTCAATCTCCTCGGTTTGAGGTCCACTACATTGTTCGAGTATTGATGCTCTGAGGAGGTTGGCTGCCTTTTTACCTCCTTCGAGCCCTTGATTTATGAGATCCTGATTGAACTATGTAGTAGCACTTATCAGCGATGATTCGGACGAGATATGGGGATGTGCAACTGACAATCATGCCATCGGCATCAACTAGCGCTATTATGTAGGGATTTCGATTCTGTTTTTGCAACGCATCAGTAAATGAAGCCGGCTCTCATCAAGCTCATTCCGTCGTACCTGCAGAATACTATTTTCGTTGATAGCTCGTTCTAAATGTTGGCTGGTCAAATTCCAATGTATTTGCAATTCTCTTCTCGATTTTCTCGAATCATCCAGATCCAGATGTGCATCGTTCAATTCTTTTTTAAGACGCTCATTTTCGTGTCGCAGACCGTTTTCGACCGTTTCGACATACATCAAAAGATCCTGATGGTAATAGGAGTTAGCATAGACAATTGGATTCCGGCATAGCAATCACATCACAGCATCGACGGCGAACCAACACACCTTAATTAATTCATCGCCAGTTTCTCTTTGCTCTGTTAACAGTTGGAACCGACGAACAAAGGCATCCATCATGGTCGTCATGATGAGTTTATGAGTTATTAATATTGCTAGATGAAGATCAAAATATCTAGACTCAAGTCAATGTGAAGTCGAGCACAAGTAATATTGAAATTAATATCGATTTAATATTTAATTGATCGCGTACGAAACTTTTTTTGAGTAAGTATGAACGCTGGAGACGCGACAGTGGGGAGTGGGGAGATTGACGCTAGGGCTGTATGTACTCCGTACTTTTCGTCCTTATTAGTGTATTACCACTTGAATGATTGATTGCATTGCGTGGGTAACAGAGAAGTGGGAATAACTTCAATCCGCTGCAGAAATATCCTTGGTACGTGATGTTATGTTATTGATGTTTTTTTCTCCTACACATTGAAGAGAGGGAAGAAGTGTACTATGGTGTGCTTGTATGTTCAAATGTCTTTCTACTTCTTTGCCCTTTAAAACCCGTGGGAAAGTTTTCTCTCATTAAGAAGATGCCATGCCATGCCATGCCATTGGAAGTATGTATGTAGGTAGTATTAGTCGGGTGTCTACCTACCTTTTGAGATTTGTTTGCAGTATCAAAACAACAGTCTCTCGTCACCCTTTTGACCCAATGACTGTACTTTTCGATTGTTGTTCTCGGCATTGTGCAGTGGAGCTTAGATTAATTGATTGGTGGCGGTATTGCATCGAGAACTTGGTGCTACAGAGTGGATGTTTACAGCGTTATATCTAAGGCCTACAGTGATGCCGACCGCGTGTCTGACAAACGAAATTGGGCATTGTCTGCAATTAGATGAAAGGGATAGATCAAGAAGTTTAGATCTAGTATGATGACCCTAGGTACCCAAACATTCCCTAGTTGTTTGTTTGTTCATGAGATGTAGAACCTATTTAATGCTCGAGTTTGTAGACAACGCAGGGCAAGTTTGATCATGAATCCCTCAATCTGGATGGAATAATTCACAAACGGATTCTCGTCAGTAAGTTTCATCAACAAGCTCTCCTCAGTGGCTATCTACTTTCCCTTTCCGGAGGTAAAGGTTTAACCCATTAGTATATTAAGCTGTCTAGTCGCTCGAAATATCAAGAGGAAACAGCTTGCCGTTGTACTTGAGTCAGAATTGAAGAGGAGGAGCGAAAGCGTGATGGGCAGTTTGCTCTCTTGCTCTTGATACCCTGGCCTGGCTCAAGCAAGTACGAAGTGGCAAGCCGAAACACCAGTACCATTAGACACTCACACCGAATTATCGTAACGTGTGCTCTTCGAACCCCAACGGAGCCCGTCGGTATCTACGATTCTCATATCTTTAATAAAGTACAGATTGAAGTAGAGTCCGGATTGTGTCAAAATTTTAAAATATAAATATTGCACACAGCTGATTACAGACAATTCCTTCTATCGCATCGTACGTCGTACACATTTTTAAGAACCGGCAGTTTACACAACCCCCACTCAATCGACTCAACCACAATTCACCATCCCATATTCAAAAGCACTCATCAATATCCCCCCAATCCGAATTCCCAAGAGATAATTATACGAACCAACCAAATCATCTGATGTCATGATTTCCTCCCCATACAAGCCACCTTGATTCTCCCCCAAAACAATGTTCTCCACACGCCTCGTGCGCCCCATTCATCTAAGCGAAACTCATCTCTTCCCCCTATCTATTTTGTGTTACACTAACAATACAGGAGTCCTAAGCGCTTGTCATTGCTTCTGCTGGTGCTAAAATCGAAAAAGAATTATACATCTATGTGAGGGGATACTCTTGGTCACTTATGGATACTTGTATTGATACTTAAATGTCACAAAAAGAGACATGATATGGCCGTTAGGGAAATTAATACGAAGCCCCTCCATTTCACAAAGCGCCCTTCTTAACAACATATCATGAACTCGGAGAACGTCCCAGATTGGGGATGTTGAACTGAAAAAGGAAATCTACGATGGTGAACATTCTATTTCTACGGTTCATCATGTTATGTCTTGGAGATCAAAGTGCATATCGCCGGTGATGTACAAAACGTCTTTCTGATTTATTTTGAACGGGGAAGTCAATGAATGCGATAGGGGGATGTGATTATTTTGGTCGCCTAAATCAACAAACATGTTGGTGTCTTCCGAGATGAAAGACACGAACCAGGAACATGGATCCGTGCCCTAAATTCTCGGCGTCTGAGGGTCTATTGAACGGGATGGCTTACCAGGGTATGGAAACAATGGAACCAACGCTTGATAGAGGTTATGCCGGCAGCTTAAAGTGATTGCATAGACGGTGTTGTAGGAATCAGTGTCTCGGCATGTGATGTTGCTCACTTCACTTGCAAAATATGGGGTCCCAGAAAAGGGCGATGAGATCATGGGAAGAGATTGATGATATTTTGGGGTATAGGTGTGATTGATGGTATTCTTTGATACGAAGTATATCATAGATCGCTGGTTGATCGCCTGCTTCGGCATGAAAACCATGGGTAGGACGTTAATATTATGAATGTTAATAACATGAGGCATCAACAGACAAGCCTATACTCATGGTATATCCCGAAGCTTGCAAGCACTTGAGTAAACAACTCATCACTTTTCGAGGAACTCTTCATCTTCAATCCCACACCCTATACCAAGTTTTAGTGGGTAATCGATTGTAGATAAAATTCAGTCACATAGTCCAGCTATGTTCATAGGCCCCCTTGTGGATGTGAAAATCTATTGCCCACAAGACCATTCTCAACGCCCGTCCCCATGCAACGATCGTCAAGTTCTTACTAAACATGCTTATTTGAAATGCAACTGATGACTAGAAGCTGGCACGACTCTACTCAATGTCGCAAAGGTGCAAGGGTCTATGATCAGTCAGTATACCCGAAGGAAATAGGTGAGTTACTCACAAATGTTATGCTTGCATTGTCCTCGGTACTTGTGGTAGTCACATTGGCAGTTTCAACTTCAAAATCCAGCCGCACCCGAGCCAAATGTTCGCATCACTGTCTTACTGTCAATGGCCCATTCTTCTTTCGTATTTGTAGTAGTCATGTAAATAACGATCAACATCTTGGTGCTGATATTCGTATCATGTACGTCTCTTATCCATAAGAAATAGAGGCACCTATCAAAAATTAGCTTTGTTCCATAAGTGCCTACCTTTACGTTCTTCACAATACAACCTTGAGTGATCGTTGAGTATTAATACTCGTTTGTCAGATTAGCCAAGAAACATCGGGGAGATATGCTCTGAATGATGGCAATTATCTTGCTCATCATTGAACAAGTAAGATTCTGTCGTTTTCTGAAGCGGGGAAGGTTTCATTAAAGGAAAGATAGCTTGCATTGCATTGCATTGCAGGCACACCATCTAATTTGATTTCAACGAGCCTGTAGACTGTAGTAAGACAGCAAAACTCTAGTCCTCCCTGTGAAGTTCGCGACTTCAACTGAAGAGTTGGTCTTCTTGATTGGATAGTCGCAGCACGAAGCCTGAAGGGTACAGAAATCTTTTCAACTGAAAGAAACGATGATGTAACGCAGCGAACGAATTGGTATAATTCCAAAGGTTAATGGAAGGTCGATCGACGGATAAAATACATTCCTCCATACACTGTGCCATACTGCCATGGGAGTGAACTAAACTATCATAGTTATATTGGTAATCTTGAGAGATACTTCTGCATGTATTGGGATTGGATCGAAGAAAATGCAAAAGAGTGAATAGGAACATGAGTACGCTGAAGCCATGCAAGCATTGAAGCAAGCATTGAAGCAAGCGACCTATCACGTTGCATTTCAAATGACTGCAGCAGAGCCTAGAACATGCAAGTCATTTGTTGTGTAATTTGTGATCGATTTACTCCAATGATGAAGTTATGATCGATACATTAGTTCTATTGAATAAATAATTGCCGCCATTGTCGAAAGTAATTTTTTCGAGACTTTTCGTTTTGTTCATATCGAGATCGACACGATACGAGAGCTTTTGGGGAGAGTACTCGGCGTGGAAGGAGTTATGAGTATTTGGCTATCCCAAGGTGTTGATTCAAGTGCAGGAGAAGTGTGTTAAAAGCACCCGCAACCTCGCAAGGTTCACCTAAGGATCGAAACAAAGGCCTTCTTCTCAATTGAGTGAACAGAGGTCCCTTCAAAGTTCTGGACAGTTTTATATCATTTTGGAATGAGGTTTCATGAATAGAAGCTGTTCGATGATTGAAGATGTTGAAGATTGGGGGATATCGAGAATATAACTGAAGTTACGGTCAATCCCACTTTAATAGTATAGTAATTATTTCAAGCAGTGCCCGCCTGGTGACCAAAGCAATTAAACTTGTTTTTTTACTAGGACTACAACTTGCTATATACTGAGGCTGATTTGAATCATTTAATTAAAACCCCAAAAATAGATTTTCGTTTAAGCTAAAAATATATTTAGAATTTAATGATATACTTTTATATAAAAAAAGTATTCAATTTAATATACAATCTTAAAGGAATTGATAAAATGAAAAGAAAAGAAGTATAATTATTAATTAGAACTTAAGACATCGATTGATGTATTTCTTTCTGAATTATTTCAAAAATTGAAATTTATATTCAATTTAAAAGTATTCTAATAAATTTGAATAATAATTAACTTTCAGAATTCAATCTTTTATTTCTCAAATATTATTATATTGAATATAAATTTTAATTTTTGAGATGATTCAAAAAGAAATATATTAATCGATATCTTGAGTTCTAATTAATAATTATATTTCTTTTCTTTCTATTTTATTAATTCCTTTAAGGTTGTATACTAAATTGAATATTTTTTTGGTATAAAAGTATACTACTAAGTTTTAAATATGTTTTTAGCTTAAACGAAAATCTATTTTTGGGGTTTTGACCAAATGATTCTATTGTTTTTATATAAAAATAATATAATAATACATCTTTTTATATATATATATATATATATAGTTCTATATTCATATAGTATAATGGGAACGAATCACAGGATCACCTGACCAAGTCACCTGACCAAGTCACATGATTATATCACGTGATAGTCGCTTAAGGCCCTTAGCCCAGAACGGCCGGAAAACCGATTCTTTATTAGCTCTTTCAACTCATACGTAGCTAGGTTGACGTAACCATAGTAAAATCGAATA